GTGTGGGCCCATCAGATCTGGAATTCAGATTAGTTAGGGAATTCCCATCGAAAGGCATCGCTACCCTCCAAGGGCTGTGAAAGCAGAGCTGAAGATGGGCTCTGCCTGAGCAGACCAGGGATGGGGGCCCTGAGGGGCTTCCTGGAGGAGGGGAAACACGAACCAGTCCTTGAAAGATGACAAAGATTGGGCTGTAGAGGACGGTACAGCAGACTCTGGGTGACTTGAGCCCTCCATAGGACATACAAAGGTGACAGCTTCCCAAGAGCTGGTGGGGGAGTAGGGTGGGGTGGGGAATGGAGTGAGGAGGGAGGATGGGCCCAGTTGGGAGGGCCTTGTCTGGGGCAGCCTTCTTGCCCCCTGGTGGCCTCCCCTCCCAGCCCCTCTGGCGAGCCGGAGAGGGCAGCAGGCTGTGGAGCTGTGCCAAGGTCGGTCAGGATGTCCAGTAATCGCCTTAGCGCTCTACCTGCTACGGAGCCATAATGAGAGGGTTTCCATTATTTTCGGGTGAGCGCCCCTGGCAGATGCCGACAGCCAGCAGCTGTGTGAGGTCCGAGGTGATTTGCAGGGGACCAGTTCGTGTGACGCACAGTAATTGCACCAGGCGGGTTTGTCCTGTCCTGCCGGGATGAGGTAAAGGTCAGTTCAAAGATCCGGCGTGGCCACAGGACGTGGGGGCAAATCCCACTCTCGTGGGACTCCTGGGAAGGGGGCAGCGGGCTGAAGTGGTGGCCAGGGTCTCAGAGGGACGATCTGGTCTGCACCCCACCCTGGGATGCCAGGGCCCTGTGGGAGGACACGTGTTCCAGGCATTCTTGGGCGAAGAGGAGAGAAGCAGGCTTCCCGCTGAGCAGGGAGCCGGATGGACTTGATCCCAGGACCCTGAGATCGTGATCTGAGCCAGAGGCAGATGCTTGATTGACTGAACCACCCAGGCGCCCCTGCTGGTGGTCTTCTAAGGACAGTAATCCCTGTCCTCTCACACCCCCACCCTGATGACCTCTCTTAGCCCTTCTGGCCTCCTCAGGGCTTTAACACAGGGATCTGCCAGGCGGGTGGGGGTGGGGTGTGTGTGTGTGTGTGTGTGTGTGTGTGTGTGTGTGTAGCGCAGCTCCGTCCACAGCGTTGGCCGTTCAGGGCCTTCCCTTCAGCGCTGACCGCTCACCTCGCACTCTCTCTCCCCCGTACACACTCACGTGTGCCCCGCACGCACCTGGACCTGGGTCTTGCCGGGGGCACGGTACTCCCCTTACTGGAAACACGTAGGTCTGCACACGCCAGCGCGTAGCTGCCCCCCCCCGCCCGGGGCCAGTTTACAGCCTGCGGGCTCTGCTGCTTACCAGCGGTGCGACTTTATCGGTCTCTGCCCCTCAGAGCCTCCGTTTTGGCATCTCTAGAATGGGGACAGTCGTGCTGGTGTCTGGGCTCATTGCTCAGGCAGCTCGTGCTCGGTGCTGACTGTGCGCCGGGTACTGGCCCGGGGACGTGTGTAGGGAAGAAAGCATGTGGTTCTGGACCAAATCAGGTCACAGACACTGAGTCCCGAGGCAGGACTTAGTGTAATGTTGTAGTCACGCTTTACTCCGCTAATAAACCATGCGGTTATCATTTTCAGTGACTACGAGAAACAGAGGGGACCTGGGACTCGTCCCAAATGGTCAGAAAGGGGGTGCCGTCAGTGGGGGGGGGCACGGGTGAACGCCACAGGGAGGGGACTCCCCACACGTTTTGCACTAGATGTTTCTCAAGGGCTGATTTGATCCTAAAACGAGTACTTTGATTTTAAAGCACATGTTTACGAACTTCGGTGGTTATTTCGAAGGAGACCCGTGGCTGAAGGGTCCCGAAGCGAGTTGTGTTATTTACACATTTGTCATCGGCATCTGAAGTCGCGCTCTGAATAGCAGATGTGAGGCACTGTCGTCTCACTGTCACGCTGATTGTTCACTGTTCTGAGAAGGTCACATCATAATTCATTAGCAATAATTAGTCCCCGGACACCCCTGCACTTCTTCGCTCAACTGCTCCATTAATTTGGGTGCGAATCACACATTCCCGGTGCCAATCAATGAAGATCTGTCTGTGATGCACAAGGTGATGCTATTAGTTACGATGTATTAACTGCCTAATTTAAAAATACAAAAGCTGTCTTTATGAAGGGCAATTAACCACTACGCGTAATGGATCCTTCATAACTCTCTGATTAGGAAAGACAAATATTAAGGAAGGACTGAACCACCTGGGCTGTTGATTAAGACATGGTTGGCCTCAAGGTGTGTGTTCACTCTGTTGTTGGTCAGTCTACAGACCTCTTTTCAGGGGGCACTGGTCAGCTCCAGGGCTTGGAGGGTCATCGCAGCGAAGGAGCGCCTGCCTGTGTCCAACGGGGCTTGGAAGGGGGCTACAGGGGCGCCCCTGGGGGCGGCAGTAGGTGTGGTCGGTGTGGTTCTAAGGAAGGGTCCCTCTCACCGGCTGTCATTTGGATTTTCTGTCACTCGGTCATTCGGCAAATGGGAGCCTGCCGTGCACCAGCCCGGTGTGAAGCAGGGGTGCCGAGGAGCATGGACCAGATGTCACTGCTGACCTCATGGAGCACACAGGTCTGGGAGAGAAACAATACACAAAGGTAGAAGTCAGACACTTGGAGATATTGGTTAACGTCACAAAGAAAGAAAAATACAGCCAGAGCTAGGATAAGGACAGTGTGACACAGGGTGGAGAGGGGGACATTGGACAGACCTGCCACCTTTTCCCAGTTCTGTTAGCACTAAGGAGCATTGAATTTGGAGCTCCCTCCACCCCGGGATGGAACAGATTGCCTGAGGCACCCCTACCTGCTCAGTCACCCTCCTCTTCAGCTTCATTTTCTGGCCCAGCCTCCATATACCCAAGGCTGCTCAAAGATTCTGAACCCAACCAGGGCCCACACTGCACCTGTTTCTCCCTCTACTCCGCCCCTCCTACCCTGGCCGCCTAATCAGTTCTGCAAGATTCAAGTTGGACCTGGCTCTTCTGAGAAGCCTTTTCTGACACCCCATCCTGGGAGGAGACCTTTCCCACCTTTGGCTTTGTAGGGTGGCTACGGTGTGTGCTTCCTGTTTCTGACTCCATATCGGTTCCAGGGTCCGTGTTGGGGTCAAGTAGAACTTAGCCCATGTCCCTAGTGTCTCAGATCCAGGAAGAGGAATAGAAAGTTCCTGACCTTCCGAGACTCAGTGTCCTCACTCATAAAGCAGGATAGAAAGCATGTCACCGCCAGGGTTGAGACAGAGTTGCATTTTTACCGGGGGTCTCCCTTATTTGGCCAAACAGAGGTTGATTTCAAGTCCATAGTTCTGAGTAACTGGGTCTACTCTGTGTGTTGCCTCTGCACAAGAGCACAAAATTGGAACACGTATCTCTTATACAGGGTATTTATTGATAAATACTAAATGATAAATTATGCACTTAACACTGGATCAGATATATTATTTATATTATAAAAATGTAAAAGTTGAAAGGATGGCTGAAAAGTAAAGATGTCTTCTGCACGTTCGGAGACCGCTGGCATGGCTGTGTCAGAGACCTGTTTGCAAACAGTGCGAGGTGACAGTTAGTGCCCTCGGTTAGTTTTCCTAGGGTTTCCCAGACCTCCTGACTAGTAGCCTGGCGTCTGTTCTGCGATGCCACGCTGCGACTCTGTGCAGATGTTGAGTAGGACTGCCGTCCTGCCCTGGCTTGTCTAGGGAGGGCTGTGTGTTCTGGGCCCATGGGGACATCTGCCATCAGAATGGATCTCAGCTGTGCCAGCCCTTTTTCCTGCGCAGCCTGAGTCCACTCTTCCCTCTCTTGGAGGCTGTTTCTTTGCCTCCTGGCCCCCATCTGCCTCTTCATCCTGCTCCAGTCCTTCAAAGCACCTCCTTGTGGCTCTAGCCGGAGCCTGCCTGTGGTCAAGGTTACAGTTCTGTGTGCTGGCCCCCAGCCAGGCACTTAGTAGATGCTCGGTAAGTGTTGCGGGAGGGTTGGATATTATTGCATTTGGGACCTCTTTCGGCATCTGCTTATGGGTTTGCATTCCGAGAACCGGGCCAAGTGTAGCCAGGCTGCAGCCGGGGTCCTGGGAGCTCAGGAGAGAAGAAATGTGGGCGCGGCTGGCCTGCCACAGCATCTCAGGGTCTTGTTAGGTTAACCCTGGGGTTGCAGGGGCTCCCTGGGTCCTATCTGTCCATCCCGGGATCATTCACATACCTGATGACCGTCTGGCAAACTTTTCTTCGGCGACAGCAATGAGAAGATATACAGGAACTTGGTGTCTCAGCCTTTGTTCTTTAGGGGAAATATGGATGCAGAGGTAATTAGGCGCACGTAGCCCACGTGCACAGTGGAAGTGCTGATCACGGGGGAATGGTCCAGAGAAACTGCCACGGACGTTCATGGGACATCCCTGGCCAGGCTGAGCGGGATGGAGTGATGGAGGGGAGATGTCCGGTGCGTCTTGGGAGGTGGGAGAATTGGCACATGTAGAGAGGTGCCATGTCCCAGGCAGGAGTGGAGATGTGTCCCAGGAGAAGGAATAGAGATGTGTCCCAGGCAGAGCATGGGTGTGTGTCACAGGTAGAAGGAGCGAAGGAAATGTGTCCCAGGTGAAGGCTGGAGTTGTGTGTCAGATGAAGAGGTGGTGGGGGGGATATCTCAGGCAGAGAGAGTGGGGACAGAGATATGTCCCAGGTGGGGGTGTCCCAGGCCGAGGGAGTGGGGACATGTCTCCCGCAACAGGCTCAGTGCAGATGGAAAGGAGGGTTGTGGGCAGGGTCGGGGTTCCCTGGAAAGGGTCAGCTCCAGCTCAGCAGCTCCCATCCAGACCCCGGGGTCAGCCAAAGCTGGCCTCAGGGAGCCACAGTGGTCTGGCCCACGCTGGCGGTCCTGATTGCCCTTGGGAAGTGACTTTCCAGCTTCCTCCCCGGAGGCTCAGCGCTCCAAGTGCTGATGGCACCCTCTGCCTGTCGTGTTCCCACTCCCAGACTGAAGCGGTCACAGCTGAAGGTGAGGTTCTGCACCAACGACTCGCAGAAGTCCCGGGGAGACCTGGTGGGGCTGCTTCGGCGCCACGGCTTCGACATCTCCGAGAGCGAGGTGACTGCCCCCGCCCCAGCCGCTTCTCTGATCCTGAAGAAGCGAGGCCTGCGGCCACACCTGCTTGTCCATGATGGTAGGCCTGCCGGGCCCTTGGCTTGGTGGGGGTGACGGTGCCTCCTTTCCAGGTGGGGGCCGAGGGAGGGCGTCCTCACCTGGGCCAAACCACTGGGGAGGACACGAACGCTTGGCTCCTGCCACTGGTGCTCATGGGCCTGTGGGGTGGAAACCTCGTGGGCTCCCTGCTGGGCACCAGTCCCCTTCCACCCCTGGCTGAGTACCGGAGGGTCTTTAGAGGCAGGTTCCAGATGGAACAGTTTCCAAGAAGGAAACCTCTGAGCCTGATTTCTTTGATCTAGAATGGACCAGAGGGGCAGGGAATCGCCACAGCGGCAAAATCCTAGCTTCTAGGGCTTGTGGGGCAGGAGATGGGCAGGGAAGGAGGCTGAGGGGCTAGACTGAAGTCTGTAGGTTTCTGTCTGCCACACCCCATCCCCCACTCCCCCTACCTCCCCCGCCACCCTCCCCCAACCCTGAACTTGATCTCTATTTGTGAAAACCAGCCCTACTTTCTGGCAAATGGCACAAGGTTTATATCCTGATCTTCGTCTGAATGCAACGAAAGAGACATTTTGACCCTCCTTGGGGAGTTTTTCTGGGAAGTGGAAGGAGCGGTATTATTGGGTGCCTTCTGAATATTCAAAAAGAAGACACATAAGCAGAGCTTCGAATTCAGGACGCTTCCCTGTCGTTGCACTGAGCCCTCCTTCTTCCCCTGCGCTGGGTATTTTTATTTACAAACCACGGCAGAAGCAAGCATATTCTTCTGCCTCCCGGCAGGAGAGGGGCCCCCCCGAGCTTGAGGGTGCTCCCTGAAAGGCTCGAGTGTCCAATCCAGAGCTCTGGTGCCAGTTGAGGGCAATACGCCCAGCCTTTAGAAAGCCTCTTTCTCAAAATCCTTCCTCTGTGATATGGGATCTCTGCCAGTGTCTTCAGAACAGGTCCTCAAGGAAGGAGAAGAACTTAAGAAAGAAAATCCCCACCCCCGGGGCAGAGGGAGGAGTGGGGGTGAAATGCGCTGGGAAGGGGAAGGAGATTCAGTGTTTGCCCGGAGGGGGCATTGATCGCTATGGGAGCTTGTGCAGGCCGGAGGGGAAGCGGGGGGCCCTCCTCAGCCGCACCCCTGCATCTCTTTTCCATTAATATGCCTGTCTCCAGACTCGGAATCTTTTTCCAAGTTTTACTGTTGATGAATTCCACCCCCAACATTTTATTATGACATTTTCAAACATACAGCCAAGCTACAGGAATTCTGCTCAGAATAATTTGGATGTGGTCACCTTGGCTGTGCTAGTGATGTTTTACTCTATTTTCTTCCTTATTATGTCTGCCTATTCCTCTGTCCATCTTTTCATCTTACTTTTTTTTCTTCTTAAGATTTATTTATTCGAGAGAGAGATAGAGAGAGTGCTTGCGTGCTGGTGGGGGGAGGAGCGGGGAGAGGGAGAGGGACCCTAAGCAGACGCTGCACTGAGCGTGGAGCTTGATGCGGGGCTCGATCCCAGGACCCTGAGACCAAGAGTCGGATACTTAACCAACTACGCCACCCAGGCTCCTGCTTTTCTTATCTTTTTGACGCATTTCAAGGTAAATAGCAAACACTGGAACATGTCCCCAAAACGCTTCAGTACTTAACTGGAGTTCAGTGTCTGTTTATAATTTTTTCTTTTGATAAAAAATTTATGTACAATGAAATGCAGGAATCTCAGGTGTGCTTTTGCTGAGTTCTGTCAGATGCATCCATCTGTGTGTCCCTAGCCCTGTCGTGATCCCAATACAGAGCTTTACTGGCACGTGCTGCCCCCGTCAGTCCCCATCCCCAACCTTCTCGGAGGCATTTTCATTTGTTTGATCATGAGAAGCTTGCCTCATTTAGATTTTTGTATAAATAGAATCATGCAGCTTCTAGTTGTGCCGGGACCCTGCGGACCACCCTCAGGCTTGACGATTTGCTGGAAGGACCTGCAGGGCCCAGAAGAGCTGCGGGACTCGTAGGGTTTGCTGCAGTGAAGGAACACAGATTGAACTCAGCAAAGGGAGGAGAGGCGGGGGTGAACTCTAGGAGAATGGGGCATGACCTTTCAGTGGTCCTCACCTGGGCAGTCTCCCTGAGATGACTTAATTCTCCCAGCCGAGATGTGTGACGGTACGTGCAATGTGTCATCACCCAGGGGAGCCCACTGGAGCCTGGTGTCTAGGGTTTTGAGTAGGGATTGGTTGGAGAGGCACACAGCGCCTGTGGACTGACCTTGGCTCTTCAGTCTCTGGCCTCCCAGGGCCTCAGGCATACAAAAAAACTCTCTCTCTCTCTCTTTTTTAAGATTGTATTTATTTGAGAGAGAGAGGGTGCATGAGGAGGGGCAGAAGGAGAGGGAGAATCAGACTCCCCACTGAGTGCAGAGCCCAGCCTGGGGCTCCATCCCAGGACTCTGAGATCATGATCTGAGCCAAATGCAGATGCTTAGCCGCCTGGGCCACCCAGGTGCCCTGAGGACCGCCTTTCTTTGGAATCTGCTGGATCCGAGCAGCCCCAACATACTGTTGTTGGGACGTATCTGTACGGTTGCGGGTTGTCAGTAGATTTTTTCTTCTTTCTGCGGAGTGCTGTTCCATTAAGTGAACATACCAGGCTTTGTCCAGTCCCCTGTTGACGGACACCTGGCTGTTTCCGACTTTAGGCTGTTAGGGAGGCGATCTGCTATGAATGTTTCTATGGAGTTCTTTTGGATAAATACCTAGGACTGAATTGCTGGGTCAGAGGGTAGGTGGCTGTTGAGTTTTATCGGAAACTGCTAGCCTCTCCCCAGGGGGCTGTATCATTTCACGTTCTGGCCAGCCGGCTCTTACAGCTGCTCTGCTTCCCCACCAGCGCTTGGCGGTGCCTATCTTTTTAATTCTCGCCGATCTGCCAAGTAGGAAGTGGTATCATGCAGTTACTTCCATTTTTTAATTCAGCAAGGTCAACATCTAAGACCAAGATAGGTGAGAGTACGCTTCGTTCTAAGCAATGGAGGGCATAAGGCTGACAACTTAGTTTATCCTTGCAATGTTCTCGGATTTTAATTTAAAATTGGGGAGGACAGGGGTTCCTGGGTGGCTCAGTCAGTTAAATGTCTGCCTTCGGGGGACGCCTGGGTGGCTCAGTTGGTTAAGCGTCTGCCCCTGGTTCAGGTTATGATCCTGGGGTCCTGGGATTGAGCCTTGCCTCAGGCTCCCTGCTCAGCGGGGAGCCTACTTCTCCCTCTCCCTCTGCCTGCCTGTGCTGTCTCTCTGTCAAATAAATAAATAAAATCTTAAAAAAAAAAGAAAAGTCTTCCTCTGGTTCAGGTCATGATGCCAGGGTCTTGGGATCGAGTACCACGTCAGGCTCCTTGTTCAGTAAGGAGTCTGCTTGTCTCTCTCTCTCTCTGCCACTCCCCCTGCTTGTTCTCTCTCTCTGACAAATAAATAAATAAAATCTTTAAAAAAAAATAAAATAAGATAAAATAGGGGAGGGCAGAGAAGGAAAGGAGGAAGAGGCTTTGCTAAGGGGCTTGGTGAGCGGAGGGGTGGTGGGAGATCAGCGGCTACTCCTTCCAGCATGTGTGTCACTCGAGGCTCTCCTGTCTTCCATGGGGTTGGGCTGGAATGTTTGATGGTCTTTACAGTGTGGGTCCAGCAGTACAGACCCTACAAAGGTTTCCAGCAGCCTCATTTCACCCTGCATTCAGGAATCTGTGTCTTCCTGGCAAATGTCACTTCTCACTTGCAGAACTATGGGTTCCCTGCCTGTGGGATTGGACAGGAGCCCCTGGGGTAATGGCAGTGTTGGGCTGGGGGCCCCCGGGGTGGGTCCATCTTTCTCCTGACAAACCCCAACTGTGGGGAGTGGAATTCCTTCATCTGTAAAGTGGGAGTAAGACCCCTTCCACGTCTGCCTCCCGTACAGCTGGGAGGATCAGGAAGTACATCTGAGAAAGGGGCCGGACCCACGTGGCAGACAGAGGGTGTCCCTGGTAGGAGATGAGACGTGAGCCATGTCTCCGCAGGGCTTTATCCCTCTTTCTCTTTCCAGGAGTCCGCTCAGAATTTGATCAGATTGACACCTCCAACCCCAACTGCGTGGTCATTGCAGATGCTGGAGAAAGCTTTTCTTACCAAAACATGAATAAGGCTTTCCGGGTGCTCATGGAGCTGGAAAGTCCTGTGCTCATCTCTCTGGGAAAAGGGTAAGTCAGCTTCAGGAAGAGGGTTTCCAGCTGCTTTGGACGACAGACACTCTGTGGGTCTCTGGCCTTGCAGAATCAGTACACGGTGCAGAAAAGTGGGTGTGGGGTGGGCATAGTCTGCCTTCCTACTCCCTCCCTGCTTTTTTCCCTTCGTGCTTCCTTTCTTTTAATAATTTGTGAGGAAATGAGAACTCTCTGGCTTCGGGGGAGCTGGCTGGTCAGGCTTGCGAGTGGGCCCTGGGCTGGAAGAGGCTGGGGCCGGGGAGGGTTGCTGCAGATGGAGGCCCTGTTGAGGCCTCAGAGCACAGGTGCTCACTGTCCCAAGGTTAGGGGTGTTTGCACAGGTACAGCACCAGGCACTGAAGAATTGTCTCTAGGGGGCACCTGAGTAGTAAAGGGAAGGCTCGGGGGCCTGGAGGAAAGCTCTGGGCCGGGCTCCGCATCTCTGGCCACAGAGCAGTCTCTGTAAAGTCCTGATTTTGTCACTGGCATTTTTGTCTGAGCCCTTAGCACAGTCCTCATTGTCTCTTCCTTTAAAAAAACCCAAACCAACCATGCTGGTTACTTTTCTCAACATCTTTTAGCACCAAGACAGTGCATGTTCATGGGAGGAAAATCAGAGAGTACAGATAAGCAAAAAGAAGAAAACAGAGATTTCCATTCCACTGCACAAGAAAACAGCTGTCAACACGTCGGTGTGTTTCCTTCCACGTGGTTCCTGGAGCAAAGAAATCATTACGAAGGGATGTACTTGGAGCATCAGGATCAAACCTGACCTAGTTTTGTTACCCGGGTTTTTGTTGTTCAGCAGACAGTACTTTGTGAACAACTATCCACTTGATAAAGAAATGTCTGTGTGGTGGTTTTCCTGTAATCTTTTTTACAGAATATCCTGTAGTTTATTTAAATTTATTTTTTATTTTTTAATTTTTAAAAAAGATTTTATTTATTTACTTGACAGAGAGCATAAGCAGGGGGAGCTGCAGGCAGAGGGAGAACCAGGCTCCCAGCTGAGCAGGGAGCCTGATGTGGGGCTCGATCCCAGGACCCTGGGATCATGACCTGAGCCAAAGGCACATGCTTCACCGACTGAGTCCCCTAGGCATCCCCTATCCTGTAGTTTTCTTAAACCAATGCCCGCTGATGGATGTTAGGTTGTTTCTGATTTTCTACGAAAGTAAAGCCGTGATAGATGGATCCGAGGCTCTCCGTGCACGTTGCCGGGCTGCTTTCCAGAAAGCTGCGCAGACTTTGTCAGCAGGAGGCAGAACTAGGCTTTAAAATCATGGGCTCTTACATTTGCAGGGACCCTCTGGAGCCCTGCCCCAGCTTTTTGTGCCTGGCGGGGATTTGGGGTCCGTCCCTGGGGAAGGCTTTTCCAGCTTGGGTGCTTCTGCTGGTCGGGAACTCCCGCCCTGTGCCCACCAAATGGGGCCGGCTATCAGAGGAGTCAAAGGAGGGACCTTTGGTTTGGCCATGCACCGTTACGTATTCCATTTTGTTTCATTCCCGCCGCAACCCTGTGAGTTGTAGGCAGCAGCAGTGCCATTTTGGAAGTGGCTTATCGAGGCCTAAGGAGGTGAAGTAAGCCGGGGTCCCCGGCCCATAAATCCTGTCCCCTCGGGGCTACATTCAAGAGCAGATGTTTGGCCCTCACAGGACCTTAAATTTGGGGGCAGCATGTTTAAAAATTGGGAGATTTTTGGGTGCCTGGGTGGCTCAGTGGGTTAAGCCTCTGCCTTCGGCTCAGGTCATGGTCTCAGGGTCCTGGGATCGAGCCCCAAATTGGGCTCTCTGCTCAGCAGGGAGCCTGCTTCCCCCTCCCTCTCTGCCTGCCTCTCTGCCTACTTGTAATCTCTCTCTGTCAAATAAATAAATAAAATCTTTAAAAAAGAATTGGGAGATTTTTATATAAAATACCCAGATTTCTGGATACTTAAAAAACCAGAATATCTGATAATTCAGGGCCCCACATTCCACCACACTCAGAAGCTTAGCTGAGGCCACTGCCTCCATTGATTCCAGCTGACCGTAGGCCCCGCCACTCCCGCCATCCCCTTCACCAAGCTCAGAGTCTGCTGTCACTTAAGTGCGCTATTTTGGTTGTTTTTCTCATGGTATTTTTTAATGGCTTTGTCTCTTGTCAAAATAGGCAAACAAAAGAGATTTCAGGAAAGAGAGGATATATTTCTTTTTTTTTTTTTTAAAAGATTTTATTTATTTATTTGACAGAGATCACAAGTAGGCAGAGAGGCAGGCAGAGAGAGAGGGGGAAGCAGGCTCCCTGCTGAGCAGAGAGCCCGATGCGGGGCTCGATCCCAGGACCCGGAGATCATGACCTGAGCCGAAGGCAGAGGCTTAACCCACTGAGCCACCCAGGCGCCCTGAGAGGATATATTTCTTTTAGGAACTTAAAATATTCTAGTGTGTTTATCATGCAAATAAAATATGTCCTGTAGTAGTCAGGATTTGTCGCAGAAGCAGAACCAAGAGGGGCCAGGTGCCCAATGAAGAGCTGTGTCCGGGACCGAAGGCTCTCTGCCGGCAGATTCCTTCTTGCTCAGGGAGGGAATACTGTTCTGTTCCCGCCTTCCCCTGATTGGATGAGGCCCACCACAGAATGGAGGGCAGTCCATTTACTCAGAGACCACTGATTTCAATGTTAATCTCACCCAAGGAAGACCTTCACAGAAACATCCAGAATAATGTTTGACCAAATATCTGGCCCCTTGGCCCAGTCAGGCTGACACATAAGTTCACCATTCTAGTCCCTTTCCGACCTCACGAGCACCTGCGGATTAGAGTGCTGCAAGCCATGGAACTTGGCCTGCTCGACGCCCTCACGCTCCTGGTTTGATCCTTTAGGCGTCCCTGAGACCACCAGCCCCTCACTAGAGAACAGCATGATGAAGCTCTGTCATGATTCATTTACGTTCACACTTTTTCTTTCAAATTGTCCCTAATTGTTAAATGTTATTACTCCAGATAGTGGGGAGTAGTCCAAGTAGATATGTTGTTGAAAAAGAAAAAGAAAAGGAATCATTTGCTTTTTAGCTTTGTCATTTTGTAGTAAATTCAAGGGTAGGCAAGGGTTGGTTTTACAAATACGCGATCGGAGGTGGTGCCTCTGACGAGTGGGGCTCCTGACTTGGGCTGTGGGTTGGGCGCTCAGAAGCAAGGGACAGGAACTGAGAGCTTTGGGGCCCGGGTCAGCAGCTTCTCGGGACAGCCCAAGGACCTATGAAGAGCTGCTGTCCTGTCCGAGTGGGGTTCGTGGACGGCGAGGGGCCATCCTCCGGGGCACGGGGCCACGCGGGGCCCCCCGAGGAGGCAGGATGGCGGGGGCACTGGGGCAGAATGTCCTCCTGGAAATGGAGTGATTTACATGTGGCATCTGTTTGGAGCCGGAGTGGGAATTGCCTTTGTAATTTCTTCTGTCATGCTGCCGTCAGAAAATTAAGCTGTTTACGCGAGAGACTATGGAAGGTTAATGGCTCTTGTGGGAAAGGTCAAGTGGTCATTTTGAAGGGAGGCCGCGCTGAATAATCGGAAAGGCAGAAGAGTAAAGCATAAAATCTATCCGACCGCTTCTGGCCAGCTCCTTCCCGTCTCTCCAGCACCCCCAGTTTCTTCTTTGTGGCCGGAGCACTCAGCTTCTGCTGCTGCTTTCTTGATGCCAGTAACAGAAGATGGTGTATCCGATCTCTTCGGTTTCAGGAATAACCTGGGCCTTTATATTTAGAAAAAATTAACTTCGATACTTGTATTTCCTGTGTCTCTAAAAATGTTTTCAGCTAACAGATGGCCTCCGATAGCTTTTGGCTTTCCTGAATGAGTAAGGAGTAAAGAAAAATTCTGGACACTGGAAAACCAAAGCCCAGATTCAGTTGAAAAAGAAATCGTAAGGTTTCTAATTTTGATTTATGGAAGTCCGTTTTTTCTTTAGGCTCTAAACATGAGGGTAACAAATATTTTAAGCTATATGCTCAGGTTTTTCCTTCTATCAGGACTAAATTTAAACTTCAGCAAGTGTGGGTTCCTGTCACTTGGGAAGAAAGACTTTGGGGAGTGTGGCTGGGCAGAAGTTGTGCTGTGAACATGTCCTTGGGAGGCTTTTCCAAAGGGAGGTGCACCCAGCTCCTGCCACCTCCTGCCAGCCCAGGGCCCTGGCCGGAGGCCCAGAGAATCCTCTGCTCCAAACAAACCTGTGCCTGTTGCAATGAGATGGTGTCATTTTTAATTCGTCCTTTGTCTTCGGGGTCTTGTGTTGGCCGCATTCTCTCCTCACCTCTGTCCTTTGTCCCTGGCTCACTTTGCCGTGTCCCTTCCTCAGGGAGGCCCTCCCTGGTCCCCCTCCTGCCCCTTCTGGTCTCCCACTGCCCCTCTCTTCCCTTCCCACAGCCGTCCTCATACAGAGGGTGAGGGGACAAAGCTGAAACCGGGCCTGGAGGGTCGTCCGGCCCATGGGGTCCTCAGCAGAGTGCTGCTGCTGGATTCTGAGATGGTCCCTGTGGCTGGACAATTCTGTTCCCTTCACTTTAGCTTCTGCTCCCAGCTCTGATGTGTCGCTGGGATGCTGTCTCCCTGTGCCCAGCATGTTCAGCCCTCCTCAAGCAGAGCACGCTGAGTCCGGGCTTCCCCTGGTCGTTGCCCGTGCCCCGTCCCCTTTATATTTGTCTGTGGACTGGGCTGCTTCCCCACCAGACTGGGAGTCCCTGGGGGACAGCCTGTGTCTGGCTGGTCTCTGAGTCCCACAGAGGGCCGTGGATCTGGGGGACTGAATTGCGGACCCCAACTCTGGGGTCCCTGAGTGCAGGGCCCAGCACCCAGTGTCTCCCTCTTCCTGTGGGCCAAACCTGACTTAACTTCGCCGTTCCTTTAAAACTCGGGACCTAGCTAGGGAAGGTGGTTTATTGTAGGAATGGGGAAATAGAAGGAAACACTTCAGTGAGGCTCTATCAGACAGAATACGTGTCTGGATTCTCGATTTAAGACAAAGGCAATTAAACCTCTAACCCTGGGTTTTGGGGTCACCCTTTAAATGGGGTAGCATTTTGAGGCCCCAATGCTGTAAGCAGGAGCTGTTCCACTTGGCTACCAGGCATCTTCCTGAAGGGGTGCAGTGTCCCACCTAGCCCTTGTGGGGTGACCCCTGACCAAGAAACCTGGGGTTCACTTGGAGACTGACTGGTCCTGCCATACCAGGAACCACCCCCGTCCCCATCCCCAGCTTCATCTCATGGGCTCCGGGCTCCCAGTGTACCGGACAGGAATGATTGGCTGGGCACCAACCCCTCCCAAAGCCAAGGGTTTGGCTAAAGCCTTGCAGGCCAGCCTTCGTGGAGCCTGAGAACACCAAGTGCTGGGGGAGCATGTGGTGGGCAGTTAGGCTCCCGCAGCCTTCAGGGCCTCAGGTGGGGTCCAGAGGAACGGGCAGGACTCCTGGGGCGCAGAGCTGGAGGAAAGGAGCCAGCCCTGCGGCAGCTCCTGGGAAGCTTAGTTCTACATTTCAGTAGGCACAGGACAGGTTGCAACCCCCACAGAGGGGAAAGACATGTGTTCATCCTTTCTGGCCCCACTCATAGCTCCCTGCCTGTAGCCCGGTCCAGGTAACCAGAATAATCATTTTCTCGAATATTTTTTGAGCAGTGCCTGCATGCGAGACGTCACTTAAGAACTTTGCACACATTGTTTTGTTTGAGCTTCACAATAATTCATGAGGTGGGCACTAGGGTCGCTGCTGCCCATTTTACAGATTAGGAAACAGCCCAGAGGGCTTCAGCAACCCAAAGTCTCACAGTTAAAAGGACGTAGAACTTGGATTGGAGCCCTGGAGTCAGTGTGCCTCACTCTTCTGTTCGGGTCTCTGTATACGTGTTGTTCGACGTCTCTCCAGTCCGTAGAGCGTGGGAAAGAGAGGCACCTGCTGTGACCGGTCTCAAAACATTTTAACAGTCTCAGGCTCCCGTTAACCCTGTCTTTTGAGTGGTGTAGATTAAACTACCTTTGCTCTCTTTCTAGTCGAATGGCTTTGCTCTGGAACTGGGATCCATCCTCCATGTGTCCCGAGGGGTCTGGGTGTGGCCCAGGGTGGAGGCCAGGGCCAGCCCAGCGCTCACAGGAGTCACAAAGCTGTCCTCAGAAAGGCAGGCTCCCGTGAGCCATGCCGTGTCGGTCTCCGGTGAGACAGGAAGAGATTGTCGTCTTCTGGTGAAAGCATTTGGCACCTGGACCTCCGGTTAATAGGAGACGCTGCGGGGTGCCATGGAACTAATGGGGTTTTCTTCTTCGAGCAGTAGTTAGGGGTTAATCATTAGCAGTTAGGAGTCTGCCATGTGCTCTGTGGACCTTCTGCCCGTCCCCAGAACGCAACGCAGGCCCCTTGTCTTTCTCTGTTAATGACTGGAACCATCTGCCCCTGGGGTCCCCCGAGGGCTGGCAGCAGGGGGCCACTGGGAGTGAGAGCTGCTGGCCCACTGTCCCTCCCGCCCGGGCATGGTGACCCGCTGCTGGGCTGTGTCATGCCGACCTCCGTCGGTCGTTCCCAGCGTGGCGCCCGGACTGACCCTCACCCATGGTTCTGCTCTCCGGAGCTGGCAGAACCGGGACGGGGTGGTTTCTCCTGGCACAGCTCCCGGGCTCCGCTCACCGTGTCCCCTCCTCCTCTCTTGTAGACGCTACTACAAGGAGACCTCGGGCCTGATGCTGGACGTTGGTGCCTACATGAAGGCGCTCGAGGTACCTGGCCTGAGTTTGTCTGAGCCGCCTTCAGATCTCGGGGCTGTCTGGGACGCTTCTGGCCTTTCGGGAGAGAGGGGTGAACTCCGTGTCTGAATCTCCTCTTCTGTTGCCAGAGCTGCCGCCCCCCTGTTGGGGCTTCAAGCGGAGCGCCCGCTCCGCTCCAGAGTGCGGCCCCTCAGCCACCGGGGTGGTCACTCTGCTGTCCTGTCCCTCCTGCTCCTCCCCACTCGCCAGGCCCCGCACCAGGCCGATGGCCGGCCTGCTCGCTGCCGCTGTCTTCTCAGACCCTCGGCGTCCGCCTGCCACCTGCCTCCTTCCTGACACTGGTCATCTGCAACACCTTGAGCATGATGTGTCCTAATGGGACTCCCTCCCGACTCCCTCCTCCTTTTCAGGGCCGGGTTCAGATGGGGCCCCCGGTGACCCCCCGACCCGTGCCTGCTCAGCTGCCCCAGGTCAGCTCACCTGCCACCCTCGCTGCTACGTTGGCTCTTGGCACCCTGCACTTGGGTGGGAGTGTTGGGCAGACTGGCTGGTAGAGCCCTGGACCTATTCCCGTGGGAGGCCTGTGACTGAGTTCTTTCCAGGGGAGAAGCAATTATGCAAATGAGAGCACCAACCAAAGGAGAGGTGAGGGAGGGTGGCCCACCTCCTGCTGTGCTCAGGTTTTTGAGCAGATCGCAGGGGGCCAGGTGGGGGCCATGTGTCTCTCAGCGCAAGTGTCCTGCCTCTTGGGAGGCCCTTGGCCCGCAGGTGCACCTTCTGGGCGCTCTTTCCTTGATTCCCCAGAGGGAGGTCTTCGGAGGAGGGCTCACCTGTGGCTTTGTCCTCAACCCGTGCTGTGTCCTTTTCTCTTTTCCCAGTACGCCTGTGGAATCGAGGCCGAAGTGGTGGGGAAACCTTCTCCTGAGTATTTCCAGTCGGCCCTGAAGGAGATGGGGGTGGAAGCCCACGAGGTAGGGAGGTCTCCCGCGGGAGCCCGCGTGTGGAAGCCGCTCGATCGGGGGCGCCCCGGATCACGGGCTGGGGGGCTTAGGCACCTGTGGAGGCTGGCTGGGCAGCCCGGTGTGGACCTAGAGGCCCACAAGAGCTGGTTTTACTGGGAAGGGGGAGAAAGCCTGCAGAGGAGGCCCACTGAATGCTTTCAGGCGGTGAAATTCGTTTCAGCGTTCAGAGTCAGAAACAAAGGCCTGTGGCCGTTTCTAAGTGACTTCTGCTGCTTCTCTGGAAGGATGAGAATTGACGTGCCCTACTAGTGTGTTCACAGTAGTTCACAGAAGAGGTGAGGGGCGGCCAGCCGGGGGATCGGTGGAAGGCGTGGGGGCCTGGCTGAGGGTCGCATGGGCTGCCAGACCATGTTCACCTCAGTGCCGCGGGGTACACGCTGGGTATGTGCAGGCCCCATGGGGTGCCTGCCTGCATCCGGGGGACAGTGGTCAGCGGACAAGAGCAAGAGTTCAGGGGACCTGCCCTGCTTCCACCGGGCGCTGCTTGAGTCCAGCTGTGCCTGCAGCTCCGAGAAGCCGCTCCGATGTGAAGCACTGACCAATGAACTGATGAATGAAGATTCTGGAAGAGCCTGTGACGAGATTCCTCATATGGTACCACAGGCGGCTAGAATGACATAGCGACATCAGAAGCAAGAAGAAATGGAAGACGACAACGCCCACAACTGAGTTTTTTTTTTTTTAAGGATCTTATTTATTTGAGAGAGGGAGACAGTGTGAGAGAGTGTGCAGCGTGAGCAGGGGGGAAGGGCAGAGGGAGACGGAGAAGCAGACTCCCAGCTGAGCGGGAAGCCCGATGCGGGGCTTGATCCCAGGACCCCGGGATCATGACCCAAGGCGAAGGCAGACGCTTAACTGACTTGAGCCACCCAGTCGCCCCACAACTGATTTTTCTTAATACCACTTACCTTTTAGAGAGAGTGGCAGGTAAGACGTGAGGAAGGAGAATGTTTCTGCCTCATCCTACGTTGACTTATTCCGTCGTCTCTTTAGCCGGAGTGTTCGGTTCCACCTCCGTGGAAGAAAAGCTCATGTCAGGCTGCACCAGCCCAGCCCAGTCAGCCTGGGCCTTTCCAGTCTGTCCCTGCCCTTGACCATACCTGTGTGTATGTTCCTCCTCCGCTTTTGGACTTGGATGGCCGTCTAACTGTGCAGGTATAATTAAGACAACCAGAGCTGCTGGGGCGCCTGGGTGGCTCAGTCGGTTAAGCGTCTGCCTTCGACTCAGGTCATGATCCCAGGGTCCTGGGATCGAGTCCTGTGTTGGGCTTCCTGCTCAGTGGGGAGTCTGCCTCTCCCTCTGCCTGCTGCTCCCTCTGCTTGTGGTCCCTCCCTCTCTCTCCCTGTCAAATAATTAAATAAAATTTAAAAAAAAAAGAAAAAGAAAAAGACAACCGGAGATGAGATAGTATGTAGATTAATGCTATGTCTTGAGTGTATATCTCCGAAACCCTCACTACATGTGAGTTTCCAGGAAATCCTGGAAACTCACTTAATTTGTAGGAACATTGATCTGCCTTGCTGCTCACAGAGATTTAGGGCTGTGGGAGGTCTAAGCTGCGGAAGTTTCTTTCACTGTACTTTTGTTCTGCCCTTGTTTTCGAAAATTCTAATTTGTAACTACTGTTACCAGAAGAAACATTTCTTTTTTTTTTTTAAAGATTTTATTTATTCATTTGACAGATAGAGATTACAAGCAGGCAGAGAGGCAGGCAGAGAGAGAGGGAGGGAAGCAGGCTCCCTGCTGAGCAGAGAGCCTGATGCGGCGGGGCTCGATCCCAGGACCCTGGGATCATGACCTGAGCCGAAGGCAGAGGCTTTAACCCACTGAACCACCCAGGCGCCCCCAGAAGAAACATTTCAACCAAGTTTCTTGTTGGAAATTAACAGTCCTACTTGATGACTGTCCCATCACCTGATGACTTTATTTCTTATCCCATCCAGTGAGAAGTTAATAATTACAATTTTCTATGTTTATTCTAGACTCAGGAGTATTGGGGAGAGTCACATGTTGAGGCTGACTGAAATAATTCCGATGGGGCTATGCGGGGTGCTTGTGGACAAGTACATCTGAGCTAGTGTGGCAGAAAACCATGATAAAATGGAAATTTTATGTCCTTGCAAACGTTCTGGGTTTGTAGAATTACCTTCCTCTCTTTGACATCAAATGCTTATGTTAGTAATGATAAAATAAGAGGACACTTTTCCATTTAAAAAGAAAAACAAAACAGTTCATTGAAAAGACAGTATGTAACAAGATTCAAAGAATATCTATTTTGCCACCCTTACATGATGACTGTGTTTGAGACAGATGGCCTTCCCAACATATATCTTAAAAAAAAAAAACAGTTACGATTTTGGTGTCCACAGTGCCCCCATTTCCCAGGTGGTGTGGAGCTGGTCCCCAGCAGCAGGTGGTTTTCTAAGAACATCATTGAAAAGACAACGGGCACATGTCTGCAGCCAGCCGAGGCCGCCCCAATGTCTGTTTTGGACATGACAGTGGGGACAGTGTCAGCATCCTGTGGTGAGGCAGGTGTCCCCAGGATCACTGTGGTGTTCCCTTCTTGATGGACCCGAATTTCCCACATGTTCCAGTCTAGAGCACTGGTCTCTCATGATGCATGGAGAAGGCTGGCCCACTGCCCCCGATATCTAGAACAGCTGCCCCCAGCCTTATTGACATCTGTGAATGCCAGAGGGCACAGGGTGTCTGGGGTTCTTAGGAAGAACCCAGGAAATGTCTTGTGAGCCTGGTAGAAGAGAAGAGGCTTGTGTTTTGAATGAAGACCACAGGCACAATGACCCTGGGTTTTCAAGACTTTGTTTCCTAGGACAGAATTTCTTTTTTTATTGTGGCATGTTTCAGAGTGATTCTCCCCATATAGCCATAGCTCAGATTGAACAATTAAAACATTTTGCCACATTCTCTTCTTTTTCCTTTCTTCTTTTTTTTTTTTAAACTTTTTCTTTCTTTCTTTCTTGCTGTTTTTTTTTTTTTTTTAAGATTTTATTTGTTTATTTGACAGAGAGAGACATAGTGAGAGAGGGAACAGAAGCAGGGAGAGTGAAAGAGAGACTCAGGCTTCCTCCCTAGCAGGGAGCCCTATGCAGGCCTCAATCCCAGGACCCCGGGATCATGACCTGAGCCAAGGGCAGACGCTTAACAACTAAGCCACCCAGGCCCCACCTTGCTGTTGCATTTCAAACCCCAGGTTTGTTGTTATTGTATCCTTTCACATTAGTATGTCTTTCCGAAAAAGATGGTTATTTTTGACATAACTCCAATGTGTTGAAACATCTAACAATGGCCAGCAAACATGTAAACAGATGCTCAGTGTTGTCAGTCATTAGGAAAATAAATGCAAGTCAAATGGGGTTAAGCCTCTGCCTTCGGCTCAGGTCATGATTCCAGGGTCCTGGGATTGAGCCCCGCATCGGGCTCTCTGCTCAGCAGGGAGCCTTCTTTGCCCTCTCTCTCCCTACCTGCTGCTCTGCCTACTTGTGATCTCTGTCTGTCAAATAAAGAAATAAAATTAAAAAAAAAAAAAAAAAACAACTACAGTGAGCGCCCACCTCACACCACCTGGAAGGTCATCCATAATAATTTTTTTAAAAGATGATTTATTTATTTATTTGACAGAGAAAGAGAATGCATGAGCAGGGGGTGGGGCAGAGGGAGACGCAGACTCCCCCTTGAGCAGGGAGCCCGACGTGGGGCTCAATCCCAGGACCCTGGATCATGACCTGAGCTGAAGGCAGATGGTTAATTGACTGAGCCACCCAGGCGTCCCTATCCATAATAATTTTAAAAACAAAAACAATAGAAGATGGCCAGCGCTGGCGAGGATGTGGAGACGCTGGAACCCTCCTGTGGGGAGACCGGCCAGGATGTGAAATGGAGCGGCTGCTGTTGAGAACCGCTTCTGGATGAGGTAAACAGAAGCACCATATGACCCGGCAATTCCACGCCGATGATGGCATCCAGAACAATGGAAAACAGGTGTTCAAACCAAACCTTACCCATGAGTGTTCAGAGCAGCGTGCTCACGGTAGCCAAAAGGCAGAAACAATGCAAACTTTCAGGGGCACATGCACAGAGCAACGAAATGGGGGCTGTTCACACAATGGGATAGTTCAGCTGTAAAAAGAACGAAATGCTGATCAGTGGTGCAGTGTGGAACCTGGAAAACACTACGGTAAATAAAGGAAGCCAGACACAAAAGGCCACATTTTACATGTTAAAGTGGCATTTCTGTGAGATGTCCCAGACAGGCAAATCAGAGATCTAAAACACGTGAGTGGTTGCCGGGGCTGGGGGCGGGGGAGTGGGGACTGGCTGCTGATGGGGACAGTCTCCCTTTGGGGTGATAAAAATGTCTGGAGCTGGACGGGGTGACAGTCCTACAACATGGTGAATGTACTTAATGCCACCGATTTGTACGCTTTAAGTGCTGACGTTGGTGAATTTTGTGTTTTTGTTGTTACGATGGGAAAAAATCTACCTACAAAATCAACAGTGATTGCCTAGTATTAACCGGTAATGAGATTTAAAGTTCCCCGGCTGTCTCAGAAATGTTCTTTCGTGTCGATTTCTTTGACTCAAGTCCAAACAGGATCCGTACCTTGCATGTGGTTGTTTTGTCTCCGAAACTTCTCATTTTAACTTTTTATCATGGAACATTTGTAGTACCTATGCAAGGAGAGAGAGTAGAATAATGAAGTCCTACATACCCATAACCAAGCTTCGCTAGTGATCAACTAACAACCATTTAGAAAAAACTTATTTTTAACTGTTCATTTTGAAGTAATTTCATACTTACAAAAGTTGCAAAATTAGCACAAAGAATTTTCCACGTGCCCTTTGCCAGCTTCTTCAAATGCTAACGTCTTACACAACAGTCGTAGAACAGTGATAAAATCAGATGTCATCAGCCAGTCATCAGCCA